ACTTACTCTAAAGTATCTTTTTTTTTTTTTTTTTTTGAAAAAATTAACCATTTCACATTAATCTTTCATATAAAAAATAGTTAAATATATAAAATATGAAAGAGTTTGATAATTAACTAAAGGAGAAATAAGAGATCGTAACAGATAATAGTTGTAATGGTGGAACCAAAGGAATACGAGCGCGCCCGAGCTCGCCCGAAAGATTAGAACAGACTTCCATACGTAACATAAGTTTAATATAATACGGACTCCGACAACATCATGTACACATGCATATGCCGTTTTCATAAATGCTATTGTTGTTATTATTTAATATTTGATTTCATTGATTACAGCGATATAAAAATTAAAATTTGTATATATAATTTAAACAAATAAAAACACCCACAATGGAATATAAACAAATATAGTATCTATAATATTTACATTCACTCCATCTTTGTCTGAAAATATTTATTTCTGAGAGGGTGGCAAGTGGAAGTCGTGTGATGCGCGCAGCAGATTTTTTCTATTTTAGAATAGAATAGAATAAAAAATAATTTTACTCTGGGACAAAGTCCCTTTAAAATAACAAAAAAGTACAAAATTAAAATATTATATCTGACCTAAATAAAAACAAGCATAAAAAGTAAAATTAAAGAGAAATAAGTAAAGAAAATATCAGTTAAACATACTATATACAAAATTTTAAAAAATCTATATACAAAACACTTGAAACCATGCCAAGACACTTAAAACTATGTACAGTGGTAAAAAATAAATATAAACTTTTAGAAAAATAAATAAATAAAAAATACATTACATTCTTCTTAGCAGTAAACTCTGTGTTTCTGTAGAAAAAAAATAAAATCGAATCTGATAGTAAGTATTTAAGTGATGAGTTATATGTAAATACATCATTATGAATAATATGTAATTTTACATAAAAGATTAGCGGACAAATGACTGTTTTTGGGACAGAAATTGGAATAGGAGGGTTTTAAATGTAGATAGGGATGGGAAATGCCGAATTTTGATAGGAAGAGAATTTCAGAAATTAATTAAGGAGTTTTGGAACGATTTTTGGTGGCCCTCTTCCCGTAGAGGCATTACTTAGAAAATTTTCGATTTATGACATTTTTGCAGCAAATACACAACATAAATACACAGGCACTTGAGAAAAAACTTTTGTTAAATTTATTTTACAAAGTACACTTTAAAAACCGATAAAATTTTTGTTACAAAAAATTAATTTTTTTTCTATTTTGATTTCAGTTTTGTGTGGGGTTGGAGTTGATATAGCTGCTCATCATCACACAATCGGAGTATATTATGTGTAAGTAAAATAAACTGATAAGATTAAAATGTATTATAATATTTTATTAATTATTAACAAAATTAAAAATAATTGTATTGGTTTAGTATATTTTTTACTCTTTTTTTTTTTTTTTTTTGTATAGGATATGCTCATTTCTCGTATTTTTCCTTGAGATCACGTGGATCGTTACTCTCTTCATACAGCTTTGTATCAGGTACTTTTGCATGCTATACATATATGAAGTTTGTTAAAAAACATGGCGTTTAGACATTTCAAAAACTATGGGACAAACAAATATACAAAATGTTATTTCACTATACTAGTATTTTTGTTTCTTGTCTTTGATATTTTCCGTCTGTCTGTATAAAATAAATAAATAGTTTGGTTTAGAAATAATGCCGCCGTTAGTTAGGTTAGATAATTGTTTTTCCAATAGTTTTTTAAATGTCTAAACAAACAACAAAGATTTATTTAGAATAAATAAGCACAAGCTAATGTGTATCTATTGATAAAGTAGTAGTCGGGAAAAAATTGATAGTTTCAATAAGCAGTTTTTGTCAATATTAATAAGACTCACTGGCGAATCTATGGGGGAGGGGGGGAGGAGGGCTTTCAGGCTGAAGCTCCTCCGCCCCCCCAAAATGGTGAAATATATCCACGTCTTACGAAAAAAATTATCTCTAAAAAGCATAATTGCTCGTTAATTACATTTAATAGGACTTCAAGAATCACTTAAACACCATTTCTTATTGGTCGTTAGTTTATTTCTCTTTCTTTCAAAGTAATTATCGTCATATCCGTACATATATTATTACAGTAAGGCTCGAAATCGGTTTTGTACCGAATATAAGCTCCTGTCATGCTCAAATAGCATGAATGGAGTACCGTTGGATTCAGGATTTCACGGGGGGTTAGCGAATCGTATTCTCTACTTTTGTTTTTCTTTCTAAAATAAATAAAGTCGATACAAACATTTTGCTAGGCTTCGATACCTGAACAGAGGTAAGTCTGTAGATCGATATGGGACAAATTGGATCTAGAAGATTTTGATGCTCACAGCAAGACCCGGATAGTTACTCCGGAACTATCGGATCCTGCGTTTTTAAGCCCAAAAACGTACTATTTTCGAGATAACGCAAGGCATAGGGTTCGCATCCACACAACCTTACAATAATTGTAGAACTTTCATTGAATACATGTCTCATTTCGTCGACTTTACGTCTCTATGATCGAGAGAGGAGGAGTTTATATTATTTATCGATGGTTTTTTTGATCGGCAAGCCATATCATCGTCAATTTTTCACCAAATCTCAAGATTGAGCCACCAATTTCGAAGGATTTCTTCTCCTTCAGGCGGACAAAATAGTCCAATCATCTCTAGATTATATAAAAAATTACTAAATTCCCTACACAATGAAAAAAAATCATTGAAATCGGGCAATTTTTAGCAAAGATACAGCTTACTGAAATTTGTAAACATGTTGGTTCCAAACAAAAATGAAGATTTAAATTTATTTTTGTTTTCTTTGTCGATTAAAGTTATCGATAAAGTAACATTTGATTTCTTTATCTTTTGATAGGTTGCATTATTTTATTTTCTTATTAATCTGGCATTTGATAACAATATGCTGTGCGAATTTTTCACACGGGCCTACTAGTATATATATAAAGCTACAAAATTAAAATATTATATTTGGCCTAAATAAAAAGGAATAAGTAAAGAAAATATTAGTTAAACATACTATATACAAAATTTTAAAAAATCTATATACAAAACACTTGAAACCATGCCAAGACACTTAAAACTATGTACAGTGTCTTAGTAGTCAGGGACTCTTAGTAGTCAACATAAATACACACTTTTAGAAAAAAATAAATAAAAAATACATTACATTCTTCTTAGCAGTAAACTCTGTATTCCTGTAGAAAAAAAAATCTTATCTTATAGTAAGTATTTAAGTGATGAGTTATATGTGAATACATCATTATGAATAATATGTTATTTTACATAAAAGGTTAGCAGGTATCTGACTGTTTTTGGGACAGGAATTGGACACACACTCCCAAAATGGTGCAATATATCCATGTCTTAGGAAAAAAATTATCTCTAAAAAGTATTATTGTTCGTTAATTACATTTAATTTGACTTCAATAATCACATAAATACCATTTCTAGTTGGTCGTTAGTTTATTTTTCTTTCTTTCAAAGTAATTATCGTCATATATATAGAAAAAAAAAAGCTTTCGGGCTGAAGCCCCCTCCCCTCCCAAAATAAATTCCTGGATCCGGTAGTGATAAGATTTAAAAAATCCGAAAGGTCGATACCAATGATGTAATTGTTGAAAATATTATAATCCTCTTACCTAAAACTCGGAATGTCTCGCATTTATCTATCCATTCAATCATTCCATCTACCTGAGTTAGATGAGAAGCAAAGGGGACACTTGCAGATGTTTTAAAAATCAAGTAAGCTGCTAATGACCTGATCGGGTAGATGCGGAATGTAACAATAAATAAATAAAATAAAAAATCAAGTTTTTTCTTTCTTTCTTACAAATTAGATAAACCATATAATAGCTTCAACCAAATATAAAAATATATACAGTAATGGTAAAAATAATGGATTTGTCTGATATCCTAATCAAATGAAAGGACATGACATGTCTAAATACCGGTGTTAGTGTCTACGTCATAAATGTCTACTAAACAGCCATTAGAACCTCAACCTCATGACCAAGGTCGTTGTATTGTACATTATCAACGCCACGACGTATCTAAATTTATCTACTGGCATTAGGATTTATTCGATTCATACTTATCTCATTCATTTATATAATGATCTCTGTTCTATTACCTTATACGATACTTTGTGGAGAAAACAAATCCTCAATATTTTAACGTCAAATAAAGTCAAAGAACGTATGTGACTTATATTAATAACTTTTTAACTGAATGGTCTGTGTGACGCTGGGTTCTGAAACTGCCACCACACATAATAGAAAGTAGAACGGCCCCAGAGTTTTCCTCTAAGAGCAAACCATGTGCTCTAACCACCCTCCTCTCTTCCTAAGATATTTTATTGGTCACCTTTTCTCAAAAACAAAGTAGGCTAAAGTAAAATTAGAAAAATCGTAGATCATACACAATTACACTTGATGCGGTCTGTTCCATGTTTTCCCTTGTCCCTCAGTCCGAAAATTCATAACTCCGCCGGAATTTGTCTCCCTCGAAAATTCAAAACCCGTCAAAATATGCCCATTTCAAAAATTTTAATGGGGCAACTTGCACCATGAAACTCCCTTGTGGGCACCCCTGCTATGAATGAGGTCACACAACTTTTCCATATGCCTGTAAAATGCTTAGTATCTGCTGATGATATTATGATTACTGTTTGAAGTAAATTCCTAGCTTTCACCAAGTGGAAAATTGAGATAAGAACGTATTCAAACTATCATCATCTAAAACAAAAGCTATGCGCTATAGAACCATCAAAAATTCCCAAACAGCTATTAGAAGATAAAAAAAACATTGAAGAAATTATGAATTTTTTTTTAAACTACTGGTATATACCAAAAATATATAAGAAATGTCAAAGAGCATAACGCCAATGACCCTATAAGCTAGAAAGAAGGACAAATAAATATTTGGAAAGTAGTTTCTAGGGTTACCTTATTTTATAATAGGATTAACTCTTTAAGGAAGATGGGGTAACATTTTATGATATAATGTAGAAAACTTTGAATAAAGTGGTAAATTTATATAACAGACAAGAGTTTGATGCATTGAGATTTTTCTTGTTATTGATATCTAGAAATGGTACTAAATTTGATTTAATAACTTTTTTTTTTTACATTCCTGAAGTGCTTCCAGGAAACAAAAAATTAAGGTTTGATACAGATTGTTTTTTAAGAGGATTAAGTATTTTTAGTATTTTTAAGAGGTCTTTTATTCAATATTGAATTGTACATAATTATTCTATTGTTTCAGGAATGAATTCCACCCGTGCCTAACCTGCTGGAGTAAAGTGCTCTGGTTTCGCCTGTGGAAAAGATCACTGCTCTATGCCATTATTGCCTTGGTCCTGTTTCTCAAACCACACAGGCTTTGGCTTTCAATAGCATCAGGTAAACCCCTACATAAGACTAAAAAAAAAATTGTTTTTTTCTTAAAGCATATTTAAACACTTACAACAGCCTATTCAGACATGATAAGTCATTATTTGAAGTATAACGCGAGCATTCATATAGAAATGGGTTTAATGATACTGCACAGCTCAGAAAAAATTCAATGCTAAAGCAATATAATAAATGAGGCAGGTCTACCAATGCTTTTGGGCTGAAACCCTCCTCCCCCTCTTCCCTCAAAAATGTTAAATTTAACAATGTCTTATGAAAAAAATATGAAGAAATTATCTAAGTATTATTGTTCGTCAATTAAGAGAACCACTTAAATACTATTTCATACAGTTGCTTAGTTTATTTATTTGTCTTCCAAAGTAATTATTGTTTGTATTTACATATATATATATATATATATATATATATATATATATATAAACCTGTATCACTACAACCCATGAAGGGTCTTGGGTGCAGTACTATATGAGGAAGTACTGTTTCAAGGCCAATGGTTGTGCAGGGAGGTGATGGCGCCGATATCACGCTCAACCACCAGGTTTTCCCCCTTAATTATTTTTTTTAATTAAGGGTACAAACTTTATAGAGGCTGGGTGTGCCCCAGGAGGGTCTTCCGACCCTAGGGTTGATCCACGGCTAATGAAAAATTACTAGTCATTAGCCGGAATCGAACCCAGGACCTTGAGCTCTGGAAGTCAGTGATCACCCACTGAGTTACCCCGCTCCTTATATATACAAACAATAATTACTTTGAACAATATATATGTAATAGTAGTAATGTAGTTTTTTTATTTGCCAAAGAAATGTCTGTACAAATAAATACATAGATATTATGAACAATATTACAATTTGAGTCTAGTTCTGTGTTCAAACACAGCATTTAATTATACTACTTAACAGTTTATTGAACATCCTTTTATGAAATAATATACTTGTTTTAATTTTTCGACACTGTCCATCTTCAATATATTTTCTATAATAATATATATACATAACATAACAAAAAAATTCTTTTGGGCTGAAACTCCCCCTCCTCCCTCCCAAAAAAAAATTAAATCCAAGATCTGTTAATACCATAAGGGGGTTGAATTTAGAAAAAATGTTCCTCAAATATAGATTGTTTTTAATTATTATTATTTATTTCTTTTCGTGCCATTGTTTTATTTTTGCCAGGTATTCAATTAGTAATACTCTCTTCTTTGTACCTGATGCTGACATACCGGTCGAGGAAGAAGACCAAGTTGATCCCATCACCACGACTTTTGAATCATAGCCAGTCTCCGAGTCAGGATGACAATGACAAGTAATAAAATACAATAAAACTCTTTTTATAGTTACAGTAATTTTTATTAATAAGACATAATTTTTCAAAAATATTTTACAGGTATGAAGATATCACAGACGTTCTGGACGATACTCTTCCCACCCCAATTTTAAGTGGTCATATGTCAGAACTTGAGCAAGATACTATGTTAGAAATATAACTTAATTATGATTTACCAGAAGGGAGCAAGATAGCAATATCATGAAATTTAACTTCTTTTTTTTTATCCTAAAGCAAACTGCTGGACAAAAGTATTTTATAAAACGGCTCTGTTTTTAAAAAAATATAAAAATGTATAAAATAACTACAGTATTAATTATTTTGCAAAACCTCTCCTTGCTTAAAAAATGGAATTATTTTGCTTTAATATGAAATCTATAATTAATAGCCTAGAATATAATAAAAAGTATCCCAATAATAAATGTTTATGACAGACTTTATTCCAGCAGTTTGTATTGAAACAGAGCACTACGTGTCAGAAAATTACTGTAAATTTTCACGAAATATTGCAATCACTTGTTTCAAGTATAGCTTAAATTATTCTTTATTTATTCTCTCCGATTTTTGTTTAATTTGCAATGTTTGTGTTCATAATTAGCTAAATGTAATACATTTTCAATGATAATAACTTTTAGATGTACTTATTATTTTAGTTTTAATATAGTAAAAAATGAGTCATTAAAATTTCAATTTCATATTAATGTAAAATGTCTAAGACGGCCTAGATCAACAAATACGGCTGGAAATCAGTCTTTACAAAGTTTTGTAAAAATGAATACAAATTGTGATATATTTTATATAATAATTGAAGTTATGTACATATAGGTTAAAACTTTATATTATGTGGTGTAATATAAAATTAATTATAATCATATTGAATATTGGTGTGAAATGATTCTCAATGATGTCTCATGATGCTAATTCTTCTATGGTATACATGAGGTATTCCATCTTGTAATTTTATTAAATCAAAACTTACTGTTTTTCAATAAATTTCTATATTCCTAATTCCTCCCATTTATTTTTCATTTAATGTTATTGAGATCAAAATAATCTACTTATAAATACAGATCACAATCAATGAAAAAATATTTGATTTGACAAGAAAAGTCTAATCAATTTCTACATTGCATAAACAAAAATAAGGCATAAAATAAACAAAATGAAATAGCTAACAAATAATGATGATATTTTCAAATGTTTACGGTTTCTCCTGAAATAAATAATTATTAGTTTCTACTCATCGCCTGATGAATGAATAATTATTTATACAATCAGAATTAATACATCGAATAATTTGAAAATAATGAATATAACAGAAAAACTGTCAGATCTACAGGAACGCTCGCCATTTGTTACAAATGAAAAAAAGTACAAAACGTATTTCATTTTTAGATGCAACAGGTAGAAATGATTAATTTATTTTCCAATTGCAGATAATCCTAAGGTTCTAAAATTCATGTCATGCAACATGCCAACGTCTGTAAATTACAGGGTCTATTTAAAATTCAAGTTACATTTTGTTTTAGAAAATTATTTTTACAACCCAGTGCTATGTCTTATCCCCAAAAAAGGGATGACATTAAAAATGTTATGTTTTTTGGGGTGTTTGAGTTTATTCGGGATGCCACTGGATAATTATTGATGATAATTACCCAGAATTGTTTAATAATAAAAAATTAGTAAAATTAATTTGGATCCATAATATATTGATTGGTCCAGAATGAATTAATTGGATTTCTTTTCTCAAAGGCTGGTTTGTGTTAATCGTGCTTTCTAATTACCTGATCATCATGATATATAAGGATGGCAGAATTAAAATAACTGTTACTAAACAACTTAATTTATTTCTATGCTTAATAAAGAATATATACAAATTATATTTACAAGAATTACAAATTATAGTTACAAGAATCAATGAATTCAATAATTAACTTGTGAAGGCATGATTTCAGATGGACTATTTGAGAATTATTTTCCCATGAAATATTATAACATTGGTAAATTTATTGTTGGGAATAAAACTTATCTATTGTATATGAAGTGGTGTAGTTGGTAGATGTCATCGCTGCATCTACTGATCCGAGGTCATCTGGTCAACAAGCTCCCCCAAGAAGTCCATCTATGTGGTCTGTGTAGAGCCAAGGCCTCAGTCCCCAAGCCGGAAGAAAACAGAAGACCTATCCTCAAGCCGGACATCAACATAAGACCTCTCCTCAGGGACGGATCTCCACATAAGACCTCTCCTCCAGGCCGGGCAGCGACATAAGACCTAATTTTCTTCCTTCTCAGTAGATTTTATAGAAATATTCAGGGTGGGGCAAGAATGGTTCTCATTGGTTCTTAACTTTACAATAACTGGTACCACCCTAAAAGGAACCAGTTACTTAGCTCGTTACTAGTTTTTACTCTGAGCCTTCCCTCGAGCCAGGTATAGGGTCGGTCCTTAATTTACCTGCTTTATACCTTTGACACCGTTTCTGATGTCAGAAGTCGATTTCGTTCACCTTTATTTTCTAAACTAAATAATAAATTTAAAACCTTATTGGCTACGTTCAATATATAGCATCAGTAAACTATACTGAATGAAGAGACAGAATAGGCAGATAATTAATAATAATAACTTTACCTATAATAGAAAAAAAAATAGATATAAAATATGTAGGAGGAATAAAAAGCAAAACTTTAAATATTTTTTGGTAAAATTTTAATTATAATTTACTTTACAATACTGACGTTCAATACATGGTAAAAGAATATTCTTTATAAAGGTGTATGTAATATATTTCAAAGAAGCAGAGCAAAATTAACATGAGAAAATTAATTGATTACAATTATATAAATAATTGATAACAAGAATATTTTAAACACTACACCATTATTTTACCATGGAGGATATACTCATTAAAATTACCTAACATCTCTAGAACTACTAACCTTTAAAGAAAAACAGTTACAATAAATTCACAATAGGAAAAACATATTACAAGAAATCTTCCCTAGAAGAAAGATGATATATACACGATGACCATGAAGAGGCATTTGATAAGCTGTCTATAAGACCAGATAAACTATACAGAAACAAGAATTAGCATTTATTGCTTTAGGTTTATTTTTAATATTCTAAGATTACTACACTTCGACCTGTAGTATATATTTACATTTTTAATCTAGACACTCCAGGAATAAGGCAGTGGGGATTCTAATCACAATCTACTTCTGTCTATTGCTTCATAATGATAACGATGGATTGACACAATTCATGATTAACAAGAAACAAATTTAAAATCCCTTAGTTCAGTCTTCTCAAACATTAACAATAAATTATTTTATGAATATTTCAGTGCCAGATAAAATAAGTTATCTTTAAAAGACCTGAAGTGCCCAGTATCAAATATAAGTAAAAAATCTCAATTAATTTAATGATATCACAATTTACTTTATTAGCATTTATGGCAGCATATAATTTTATCGCATAATGATGAATATCCATAAAATAAGAGAAAATTTTCAAACAGTTGCCGATGTCCCATCATAATAATAAAAAAAATTGTAAAGATGATGTTTCCATCAGCAAACCAATTCAATGCTTCTTGCAAATTTTGCTAAAGAAATCAAGTTATTAAGGAGGGATAAAAAAATATTGTGTCATGGCTAGAATATTCTGCTATAAAACAATTTCATTCCATTCATTAATAGTATTACAAATAATGACAATCTAACTTCTTTTTATTTCGAAATTCTATCATAAAATCAAAATAGTTGTAATTCCGAAAATACGCACACACACATATATATATATATATATATATATATATATATATATATACATATATATATATATATATACATATATATATATATATATATATATATATATATATATATATATATATATATATATATATATTAAAAATAACCTGTAATTGTAATATCAAATAAAATTTAGGTAGAAACTGAAAAAGAGGCCAATATTGTTATTAACAGATTTTACTGAGAACTTTAACAGAATAGAATCTCTTCAACTACACAGTTCAAAAGTGATATTAATCACTCGGTGTTGACTTAAACTTCAAAAAAGGGAACGAGAAAAACATATGCAACCTCAATAGACTTTTAAATTGAACAGAACGAATACCATAGTTGGTGAAGAAAAGCCATTTATGTATGGCTCTCTAGATGAATGCCTAGAAATACTTATTTATGTCTTATCAGTTTTTTTTTTTAAATACAATAGCTATTATTTAGTCTTAAAAAATCCTTTTTTATGCATTTATTATTGTTATAAACCACTGGTAAAGGAAGCAGTGTGATATGTTTTTCTCATGGTAAATGTCTTGATAATACCATGAGATTAATGCAAGTTGATTGCGGTCTAAAATTTTTAAACATGAATACAAAAACAATAAATGTTCAAATGAATCAGATTTTTTTAAATAAACAAAATAAATATAAAAATAAATGACCAATGAAATATTTTTTTAAAAATAACAACCAACAAATAAAAAATAACAAACTATTAAATAACAAGCTGTATCACAGCCAAACTAAAAACAACTGTTAAGGTCCTTTTGCAGTTTCTGGCTAAATTTTTATCTTTTTATATGTATTTGTATTGCTAATCATATATAACTTCTTAAAAATCATTTGTTTATTCTCTAAAATATTACAAACAGTAGCAGCCTCATATCAGGCTGCTAGTACAAAATATCCTGAAGATTACATTTCTAACCAGGGGATAAATTAACATAAATTTAATTGAGGATTCATGACTTATGTATATTTCTTAAAGCTAACAACTCAGAACACAAGTTTCTTTTAAACACTTATTGTAAAACAACTGTCCACTACATAAAATAATAATAACTGCAATGCTTACGTTTTTTTTTTTTTTTTATGGAATAAAACAAATCAGAAATAGTATATAAATCAAGGAATTAATGAAAAATTAAATAAAACGAATATTATATACAACCCATCATTTTGAATTTACTACAAAAAATAATATATTGAATATATTTCATTATATGAGCAATTTTTTTTTCATTATTGATTTTTTTCAGCAAAAGTTTTAAAGTATATATTGAATAGTTTAAAATAAATATTAAAAAGGAGTGAGGAATCCTACCATACTATATAAGCATCTTAATAACGACCAAACAATAGACAATCCCTTTTCAGCATGGTCAGGACCACTAAAAAATATAACAGAACTTTTTATACTACAGAACTTTTTAAAAATCGTTTCACATTTCGCTACCATAAAATCTCATGAAGCTACAATCAATCGATAGATCTTTTTAAAACAAATATACATTTTAGCACTATATTCTAAACCTAATAATCCATAAATTATCTATTATAATTAAATCTAAAAATCACAAAGCCTGTTCACAAATAAACTTAAGGAAGAAGAACCAACCGATCAAAGAAAAAACAACAGCAATACAGTCTGAATATACATGATTAAATTTTAAAAAGTACTTTTCGGAGATGACACTTGAAAAAAAAATATTCACACCTAATCGCTGTTTGTATTTGACTCACGCCTCTGTTGCCTCCCTCTACCACCTATGACAAAAAATCATATTCAAAAGATTAAGGATCTATGTTTAAAAAATTATATTTCCAAACCATGCAAATCAGTAGCATGCAATGATGAACCAGTTAAATTGTGTTTTTGACAACCTGCTGAAATAAACTTTCACAACCAAAATTGAAATAATTATAATAGAAAGTTGTAAATTAATTATAATAATAAAAATAGAAAAAAAAAAAAAACAAGGATAAGGAAGCTAAGCATTTTATTGATATTTACAGTTTGAAGCAGTTGGACATCAGAGACAATAAAAGAGTAAGGATGGAATTGATAAAAGTGTTGCTAAAATACAAACCACTGACCTCTTCTGATTTGATTGAGGCAGGCCAACATTCTGATCATAAAGGAAGCGGGGACGGTGATCGTGTCTTTAGTCTCCTCGAGCATCACCGCATTTCTCTTCATTAGCTAAGACCATTAAATGAGAATATCATCAACTAATCTTATTTAATTCTCTCTCATAATAAAAATTAAAACCATCCTCAAAACTCACTATCAACAAATGATTGTTATGCACTTGAATACTGGCTCAAACAGCCCAAACTGTAGTTTAGCTAATGATTAGCTGAATCAGTTGTTTATCAGCTACCATCCTTCTTTCAAACTCATCATCACCATTATCAAAAGATGGTGAAAAAAAAAAACTATAAGTCCATGTCAATAAAATGACAATCTGAGTTATTATAAATAGTTATAAAATAATACAATATAATCTTTTCTTTTTTTTAAATTTGTTTCTGACAAATTTTGTAGTTGGCAACTAAATGGTCAATTTCTCGTAAAACAAAATTTAATTTTGCATTACCTAACAGATTAGTAATTTATTTAACTTAACCTATATTGACATGAACTGGCACATTGTTTCACTAAGCACAGAGGAGATCTAACAGGAATAGACTAAATTTATGAGATATGGCAATAAAATTATTATTGCCATATTTTATTTATACAGAAATAAAAACTTTTAGATTTGATAAATACTAAACACATCAGGAATAATCATAGAGTTACAGAGAATGTCATGTTATGATATTTCGAACCCGTTCTGATTCCCAGACTAATAAATCTACATAAAACTAAACTCTCTAGACAGTAATAATGGTTGTGTTGCTGATAGTCAAACAAACATTTCTTTAAAAACCAAAGAAAAACCCAACTTTAAATTTAGTTCTGCTGCTGAAAAATCTAGTATTTAGAGATACTAAAAACTTTGATGTTATTAAATGTTAAAAAAAGAGAAAAAAAAAGATATAAATATATTAAATTAGGTTGAAAATACTGAAAATATATAATTTGAAAGCTCGACAACTTTTAAGTTAACAAAATTAAGAAATGACCAATAATTTAACAATAATAAATTTAAAGCATTTGTTTCTTTATAAAAGCCATCATTTAGATAAGCTATATTCTGTGAAAGTATAATTAAAAAAATATTTCCCTCTAATAGTCATAGGGATATCTTTAGGGAACAGTATAGATGATATAAGTACATAAGTTGTTTAAATAGTTAAAACAGAGCAAAAAACAATAGCTCCAAAAATTCCTTAACCATATATAACTAGAACCTCTCAACCCCAATTAGAAATTGGGTCCTTCGACTGACCTCCTCAGCCATTTCCTGGTCGAAGGTTGGCTCGCTGTGTATCGGAGCCCATAGCTTGACATCATAATCAATTCCAGAGGTGGCGAGAAGGGGAAGGTAGGGATGAGGTTGAACACAGTTGACCACATGCTGATCCGCTTGGAGCAGCATCTCCAGGCGTCCTTCTTGCCTCTCCCACATGAACACATGCCCACAGTCACTTCCTGAAATGACGTAGTCTTCACCCCAGAACGTTGCTTCTTTAATCATTGTTCTACAAAACAAAGATAAAAAAAATAATTAAAACACATTATTAATTAATTCAATATAGAGAAAGTATTTTTCTTTAATAAACAACTTTTCAAATAAACCTCACAGACATTTTTAAGATATTAAATATTCTATGGATCATTATAGGCATCACAGACCAACAGCGAGTTGAAAATAACATTTTAAATTCAAAATACCTGGCATTCCTATGTCCAACATATTTTTGCTTAAAGTATGATTTTCTAGTTTTTGTAGGTTCATCTTTCTCTTCTAAACTTTCATTCCTCGCATTCTTAATTGCATCATCCATATGTTTTTCAATTGGATGAACAAGTCGACTGTAAATAATAATCACATAAGATTAAACAATATGTAAATATTTTTATAACACCTATCAAAAAATGAATCCAGAATACCATTCAGCAGCTAAGACTGGGCTCAAATCATCATCGGAATCACTAAAGCTAACGTTTCCCCTGACAGAATGTATTCGTGGTAAGCTTGGATCATCATCTGAAATAAAATTAAAATTAATATACACAATATACATCACAAATTGAGTAATAAACAGCAATGTAGTATATAAATGTTTGTTAATGTTTTCAAAATAATAAAGTAAATTTATGATTCAAATTTTTTTTGCCAGAAATAATTTTTACTTTCTTATACATTGTGTTATAATAAACAAACATAGTCCTCTTAGGATCATGTTTCTCACTAATTATAAACGTATCATGAAAATTAACATAATGATTAAAATTACCTTGTGATGGGGTAAAATTATTATCGCCAGAAGTACTTTCACTAACTGCAGGTGGTTCTGAACTAGGAGGAGCTGCCTCTGCTAAAATAAAAAATGACAACACTATTTACAAAACATGAATATTTAAATAATAAAAATTAATACAGTAAATACAAATTAATAATAATCCGCAAAGTGAGAAATGGGATAAAAGTGAAGACATTTATAGAGGCTTAAGTAGATCAAGGATGGGTCCGTTAATCTTGTTCAAATAACCCTTAAAATACAATGCAACACCTATAATTTGAATTTCTGTAGTCTGAGCATTCTAATTATCTGGACAGGCATACTTATAAAAAAAAAAAAAAAACTGTACCCATGAAGTGTCTTAGGTTCAGCGGCACTTAGTAACGAAGTACTGTTTCTTGGTCAATGATTGTACAATGAGGGGATTTGACCAAGATCATGCTCGGCCACCAGGTTTTCTCCCTTAATCAATTACTTAATTAAGGATACCCACTTTACAGAGGCTGTAAGTGAATTTCCTGACCCCCCATTCAAGAAAACAGAATAAATAATTTATCTGACATTAGCCGGACTTGAACCTGGGGCCTTGAGCATTGGAAGACAGCGCCATACCACTCCCAAAAAAAAATGTGTGTGTATATATATAAATGAGGACTTTAAGCCAGAAACAAATGTCTAAAGAAACATGCACATCTGTTGAACACAAAAATCACACATGAAATTATTAAAAACTTATTTTCTTCTTTGACCTCTTTTCAAGTTATTTTGTCAATTGAAACCTCCAATGTTTTCATATTAACTTTTTATCACCAATCAAACTTATATTTATAATCAATTTTTCGTATATTATTATTTAAGCATCTTAATCTTAAATTAGGGACTAAGCATATGATATAATCAGACTTACGCTGCTCTTCAGATGTTTTACACTGCTCCTCAGGTGTTTGTCGAGACATCTCCTTTCCGACAAAAACAGATATGCATGATGCTGTTGAGCCCACGTCAGAATACATAAGATTAACCATTGGTTCTACACCGTGTCTAGAACAGAGGGGAATAAAACAAACAATAATAGAATATTATTATTCAAGAAAATGGACACCAATTGTCAGAATGATATTATTTTATACTTGAAGAAAAAAAAGCTTTAATATATTTTTTTCTGATTTAATTTCTTAAAAATATTAAAAATTCTTAACTAAATACATTTTTTTATTTTTATATAAAATAGGCCAATTATCACAAAAAATTTTATTGATACGCTATTTAATTGGATGTTTCAACCATACTAAGGGTCATTTTCAAGTCTTGATGAGTCCTCAGTTATATATTCATCATTAATGTCGCAAATAATATGTTCAGTGAACATTAAATTGTCATGGTCTATAGGGGTTTCACCTACATCATTTCTGGAGGGACTGATGTAGGTGAAGGGACTGAAGTCCCTCCAGAAATGATGTAGGTGAAACCCCTATAGACCATGACAATTTAATGTTCACTGAACATATTATTTGCGACATTAATGATGAATATATAACTGAGGACTCATCAAGACTTGAAAATGACCCTTAGTATGGTCGAAACATCGAATTAAATAGCGTATCAATAAAATTGTTTGTGATAATTGGACTATTTTATATAAAAATAAAACCTCAAGACACCAAAATTAGGATAAATGAACAGAAGTAAATACATTTTTTATTATAATAACAATCACTGAGATGTGATGAGTATTAGGGGACAACAAAATTTGTTTAAAATAAGGTTTTGGACTAATGGTGCAAATCATATTAGATCTTGAGAACATAATTTGATAAAAAGTTAAATAACTATCAACAGAACTAATATAATGCGAGATAATACATTACAATAGAGCAAGCCCTAGAAAAAAAACATGAAAGTCGACTTTTAGCGAGATGATAAAATGGACTACTGTAATAAAATTAATTACTTTTCCACAAAGCCGTGGTACATGGTAGAAAGTTCATTGAGATGAGAAATATTAGAATCCTGAGCATTACTCGTGGAAGCTTTCTCTACTGGAGCAGAAGAAGTGGAAGGTGAAGGAGTTTCTTCTTTGTTTTCCTGCTGTGCTTCATCCTCTCGACTGGCCTGTAAAATGCAGAATACTCTAAGATAAATGAAAATTTAAAAAATGGTACAATGTGAGCATTATAAGGGTGACTACCAGATAGTTAAAGTAAAATTCTCAGACATTTCTCTATTTAATGATAGTTTTTCCTTTCCAATGTCTGGAGAAACAAATATTAAAATTGTATCAATGTGTAACATGTATAATGTGTAAATTTATTTATTATACATAAAAGACATGTATAATAAATAATGACAAAATCGGTTGCCCTGAATATTCCGCTATCAGGGTTAAGGCAGATTTTACTCAAAAAGACTAACGAGTATTTACAATCTATTCGCGATCTATTTGATGAAGCTGAAACTAATATTTTGTGAGGATGGATACAAAGATTCTGCTTCAGATACAACACTTTTTAAAAATATTATCAGTAAAACTGCCATACCTTCAGTTAACCAACGAATGGAATTCTAAGGTTTAGCCAACAGTTCATAAGAATTATCATGACGCTGACATATTTAACACGGTGAAACGTAATTTTTTAAAAAGTTAATACTTGATCGGACTCAACATTTAAGATTGAAAAATGTTCTAATGGATATTTATCTATAGACAGAATTACTGTTAAGAAATTCATTACTTTATTTTAAAAAATAAATATGTCCATAGATGTATATATTACAAATAGTAAATAGTACTGGTATGTTTTTCTTTTCAAAAAAGCACTTTTTTTAAGTCCATTTGGCTTAAATTGTATTCATTACCCTTGCTTGATTTCAATATAACGACCAGCACAGTTATGGACAGTCAAAGATAGATAGCGACCATGGTCATTTATAACGAAGAAGTTTACCCGTTCAAGGCTATCATAAACGATATCCGTTGTATATTTATATCTGATTTGAAAAAATATTTATGTACTAAAAAAATTCTCTGACTTCTTCCTGTTTTGAAAATTCCCCGACTTTTTCCAATTTTCCAGGTCAGTCGCAACCCTGATTACATAATTAACTTTCACTTATCAACTAAATTTAAGTAGAAATAGTTATTATCACGTATAGGGAAGTGAAAGTAAAAATTATAGATGGTATAACAGATTCATTTAAAACAATTTAACCACATATTTTCTCACCCTCCTAATCTGTTAATGAATTCTCCTAATCTGTATTTGATTTAGCTTTATGAAGGTCTAATGACCCGAACTGGTAACAGAAGAATACAAAATATACAGGAAGACAATATATATTTTTTTTTAAACACCATAACTATCATTTATGAATAGTGCAATTATACTATTGGAACCAACGAGCTCCTCGTTTATAACATCGGATATTATGCACATTTGGAAGCAATCATAAACTATTCGATTATTCTTGAGCATTCTTGATGCTTTTGTTGGTTCTTGTTATACTAAATCTTTATTTTAATGACCATGGTCACTTACTCATCTTATGTACAAAACAGGTATGTGCAGTTCAAATTTCACAAAGGTGGAGCAGCAGAGCATCTCTAGTTAAAGATAAATACTTTATGTTCCTAAAATTTGTCTATAAAAAAATAAAAACTAGCATAAGTTAAAAAAAAAAAAAAAAGGTATGAACTAAGATAATACCACAACATGTTCTTCGATTTCCATCGTTTCAACTTGTACCTCCTGCTGAGGCTGACTGAAGGAAGAACTGAAGGAAGGCAACGGAAGATCAAGAGGATGGGGATTACTGACTTCTTCTATCACTTCACCCGTAGCAACATCTTCCTCCCCTTCATCACCTTCACTCCCAGCTAAAATATAATTAATAGCTAATAATTTAACCAAGAAATTGAAAAAATATATATATAAAAAAACCATTAACAATCATATTAATATAAGTAAATATTTTATATGCTATTAAATGTAATCTGTCATTTTTTAATAGATAGTTCTTGATAAACCCAACATCCAGACAAATTCCTGACAGTGTAAGGGGCTAACACACGAAAAATAGGGCATATTACTGGATGGAATCCAAAATTAAAAACAATAAAATGAGTAAATATAGTATAACTTTTCTTTTTAAAAAATCTAATGAAATACCGAAGAGGCAAGAATTATGCAAACATAATTATAAAAAGAAGAAACAGAGGTCACACGAAGACAAAAAAGAAAAAATTATTAGGCTATAAATTTTATTTAAAACAGTAGAGAAATTTCCATGAAAAATCCATCCTTTTGAGTAAAATTTTAGATTTTGTTAATTTGAAGTGGCTATTTAAAGACATATTATTCTGTGATTATTCAGTTATCAGGTTTCAGGTCTGCACCACAAATCAGCTTCAGAATTTATTTTCTTACAATTAGATGGAAATTAAACAGATGTAAAAGTATAAATAATTCAATTACATAATTTCAATCAGTTTGCTTAGTTTCAAGTTATCCATATTAATTTTTGTGTAAGTGAGAAAATAAATTAAAATTATATTTTGTTTAGTAATATTTTTCTTCTGTTGCCATGGATGAATGGTATTATTTATTCAATTTAAAATTAATAATATCTCTCTTCAAAACAACACAAAAATATCACCAAAACGTTTAAGAAACTTTGAATTTTTTTTCTTATTTTTTTTTATACAAATCTTATAAATTATGATTTTATTATATAAAAAATATTAGGATTATTTGACTGAACAAGATACCATGGGCAGGTGGTTCACTATGTGATGACTGGTCAGACTCAGGAAAAGCTTCTCCGCCATGGCTGAGAGCAGCTCGTGTCGCAGGATCATTCAGCATGCGAGATAAGACGTCGGTCATACGTTGCATTAGAGTCCCATGAAGAGTAGGCCTAGCTTGGCTCGCTCCACCTCCACCTAATAAGTAATAAGAATCCTTCTACAAAATTTTAATGAATAGAAATTTAATGCCAAAATCAAATAGAATTATATATCTGTGGTTTTACAAAGTAAAATAATAAAATTATTTTATAAAACCAGGAATAATAATATTTTTAGAAGATATTACCAATGATTATTAAATAGAACAAATTTAAAACTCAATAATCGATTAATACTTTTGAAAAATCTATTAAGTGTAAACAGAAAATATAAAAAAATAATTTCAAACAAAAACTTTCTATAGTTTTTATTTTATTTTTATTTTTTTTCCATCGGAATTAAAGACCATGTAGAACTTTTGCTGCCTTCTCTATCTTTGCATGTCTTGGGCTATTTCTTTAGATATCTGCATGTAGTTGATTCTATCTATTGCATCTTTGTTGATTCTATCTATTGCATCTTTGTTGATTCTATCTATTGCATCTTTGTTGATTCTATCTATCTATCTTTCAATCTTTCAATCTTGGCCTTCCATGTGGTCTTTTGCTTTCTATTGAGGCATTCATTGTTGTATAGTTTTCAAATGGATTGCTCTGAGCCACATGCCCCGCCCATCTTAACCTCCTTGCCTTCATATTATATGATACTCATTGACCAGTTTCTGTAAGCAGCTCTTTATTGGTCATTCTCCTTTATGCATTAGTATTCTGATCTCAGATCGCTCCGATTATTGTGTGGAGGATTTTTCTCTCAAATCTTTCAATACTTCTTAATAGGGTGCTTGTTAGAGTCAAGGTCTCGCAGTAATATATGAAAACTGGCTTAACATTGTATACCCTTAATCTAAGATTTCTTGAAATTTTTGAAGATTTCAATACCTTTGAAAGAGAGAAAACTATCTATCTTATTTTGAATCTATATATAATCATCTCCTAGCTTAACAGATAGTATTGTTTTGTTTTTTTCACAGGTGAGAATAAAATAGATCAAGATACTAAAAAAAAAAAAAAAAGAATACAAATATAAATTTTCACCTGGAGGAAGATAATTTTGGGGACGGGCATCTGGGCCGGTGTCTGACCAATCTCCTCGGAGCCTCAGCCTCCTCACGGGAGCGATTGGTGAATCAGCATCGACGCTCATCGGTTCCTCCACCAAACTCTCAGTCTCAAGTGTCATAGTTTCCCCATGCTAAAAAATTAGAAGACAGCAAAACACTATATTTGATAATAATGAAATGTTATGTACCTAATAAAGTCATCACATGATAATATCAGAACTATGAAATAAATGAAAAAAAAAAATTCTATTTACACTTTTTCTTTCTGAACTACTTAAGGAGAGAAAGAGTCAAATAATCAACCTGTACTAGCTATAGTTTTTCCTCTACATTACATTTCACTTGATTTGAAATCATTGAAATACTAAATGACCATAAATCAACTTGATTTTCCAATCCTTTGATATTGTTATTTCCCTTATTTTATTAAATAATTGTGTAATGATCCAAGAAACTTTAGTGGCTAAGCTTTTATTTCATTATGATATACATTCTTCAGAATGAAAAAGTCGATTTTCTCAAACATTGTAAAAAGCAATCAAAGTGGACCTGTTCTAATAAACAATTCTTGAACAATAATGAGTAACCGTTGCAATTTTAATTTTCATTTTTTTCCAAAAAGAAATTTCCATAGCAATTATAAGTTTAATTGTAGGAGGACAAATTTTATTTATTTTTTTACAAAATCTTTCCATGATCATTTTGGGTGTATTAATTGTTTTGTTTTTTCTAAATGTAATACAAATAATAATATTTAACCAATTACCTGGACTCCAAATAAATATAAATGTTCAGAAGAATAGCTGACTAGAATATCTTCACCACGAGGTGAGAAACTTAATGATGTTATCCGAAACGATCTGCCTTCCATTCCTGGTGCTATGTAAGTCATCAAAGGTTTAGCATTTTCACCTCCTATAATAAATAAAATATAAAGACATCATATTCTATAGTTATATTATTCTTAATTTGAATAATTATTTATAGAATTAAAAGAATCAGTATAAAAGTGTCATGTCTCTCAACTGTATTGAATAGTTAATTCGCACAGCATATTCATCCGTCCAATAAATAATATTCAAGAAAACGTACAAGAGTTGGATGCAACTAGGCAAAACTAAATACATGCTAAGAATTTTTCTTTCTTTTTTCTTATTTTCTTCTAATCTTTTCTGTTCATAGAGTAGACAAAGACCAATACAAATGGTAATGAAGGATTCCCAATTCGTCCAAAACAATGTTTTCCACTGTATTCTGAAGCAAAGTTCTTTTAAACACTGCGCCACCAAAAAATTATCTATTGCAAGAGAAATGTTTCTACTTCCAAACAAAAGCCTTTCAACAATACATTTTCTCATACTGAATTCCTCTGCAAACTTTTCTTCCTAGTACTATTTTTCTGTCTGCATCATGAAGTCCTGATCCTGATTGTTTGTTTTGAATCTTATTCTGGAATTTACAATTAGTACCTCCTTTTCAATTCCACTAAATGCTAAAATGTCAATGAACTTTAAATAATTAAAATGTTAATAGAGATGGACCAACTTCATCAATGGTGCTGTCACCAGTGAATATATTATTGAAGTAAAGACATATGGTCTGGCTTTAAGAGACTCAAATGAACTTGAATAATCGTAATTACAAATTATAATAATCAATAGTGATATTATCAGTCATTAATCCTGTATACTAGCATAGAACACTAAATTTTACAATTACCTGATCCTCCCAACATTCTTCGATCATATATACGAACTGTGCTATCAGAACAACCAATGGCAAGCTGGTAGGAAAAGGCTGAATTGACTGTAAGTGCAGTAACAGCTCTCTGGCACGATATAATAACATCCTAAAAAATATAAACATATATGTATTATTAAAAGAATACATATACGGAGCAACAATAATTACAGAAAAATTAATTTTACCATCTTACCGTATTACAAATTTCCATACATCTGGCTTTAATGCACTTCTCTTTAGTTCTTAAATCAAAACATCTCACAGTATAATCCTCTCCACAACTTAGAAAAGTATATGGATCATTAGGGATCGTTGCTACTTCATAAGTAGTGCCAACATGACAATTGAAAACATTGTTATGGGTTTCATTGAGGCGTAACAGATCTAATGAAAACAGAAGTTTTAAAACGCAGAAATGATATAATTAGAGGTACTACTTTACAAGTAACACTTCACTTTGATAGATGGCCAAAAGATCTCATGATCACACTATGAATGGAATTTTGATAATAGCCAAGTATTAACATGCTCATTGGGTGGAATGACCGAACGAGCTAACGTGTGTGCACAGCACTGCCGTTGCCTGGCAACCTGACAATTGATAACTAGATAAAAATAGTCACGAGTTCGTGTCTCGGTGACGGGGGTCTTTTAAATCCCCGCCCATCCCCCCTGACATGGGAAAACTCAGTGTGGCCTTACTTAAAGGCGACGAAGGGGAGGACAAAAAAAAAATTGACATGTCCATGGGTATAAACTACCTTCACTTAGTTCCTGATTTATGACATAGCAAACTCCTAACTGGTCCTTGTCAGTTTAAATCAGGGCATTAATTAGCTTTAATTACATCACTGGTTTTGACTTCTGCTCACTGAGCTCGATTGAAAGGGATAAACAAACCAACGGATCCTTTACAGTTGAAGTTGGGGCTTTACTAGATGGTTATGTTACCTCTGTCTAGTTTCGGACACACTTGGCCATTCTTGTCATTCCACATCCTCCAGTGGGTCAAGATTCCTTTTTCGCAACATAAGTGGGATAGCGGGAATAGTCAAGGTTTGGAGTGTTCACAGTATATTCTCCCTTACTTCACAACCTCGGCAAACTTTTTATTGGTATGGAACAGTTATTGCAATGGTTCAGTTAACACTTAAACGACCACAGCAGGCTTACGGCCCACTCACTGATTTACCCAAGGGACCACAGTGGGCGCATATACATTGAGTTCCACAAACAACTTGTTTGAATTTCCAGAAATAATCGAAATATGATTATATGCAACAAATAACTCTCAAGGGTAAAAACAGGAAAATAAAAATCAACAAAAAACAACTGTAATATTCCTATGGATAATAGCGGGCATATAAGCCCATTCCGTTGGTTATTAAATTATTGCAATTAAATTACTTTTAAAACTAAAAAAATGCATGATACTTTTTTTAACAATATACTACAATTTTTGAGAGAAAATAAATTTGGACCAAGGAGAAAGTTTAACTCGAATGGCTTGGTCATTACTGTTAATATCAGGGCATTAATTGGTCATAAGTTACATCACTGCTTTCGACTCCTGCTGGCTACGCTCACTCTAAAGGGATAAGCAAACCCCCAACGGGTCCTTTTCAGTAGAGGTCAGGGCCTTACCCAGAAGGTTCAGTTACTTCCGTCTACTTGCCTATATAGTCAGCCAATCTTGGGATTCCATTTATGGTGTGATCATAAGATCTTCTGCCACTGATGATAGTGGAATGACATTTGTACAGTAGTACCGCAAGAACCTTTAACTGAATTTGAAAAAATTCATACCTGAATACAGTATCATTCCATCTCCGGAACATGATACTATCCCTGTATCATTTGTACAAGGCAAAAATTTAGCACTGAATATATTAGCTTTGTGGCTACTACGGTAATTAGTCAAAACCTAAAAATTTATCAAGGAACAGTGAAAAATTACATTACTTAAAATTTAACAACATACTTTATTTTATTTTCATCTTTCCTTGCCTCTTGGCAATAGATTTTTGGTAGAAGTAGTTGACACTATTTAACAACATACTATAGATTATAAATATAATACCAACCTTATAATTGTAAGGATTAGAAACAACCAAATGTTGGTCATCTGAACCTGAGAGAAGCCTATCTCCTTTTTCATTCCAACAAATACAATTTACACATCCATTATGAACAGGTAAGTTTCTTAACAATCCAAGACGTTGAACCCAGTCTTTACTCCCTGAAATTATTGACTGATTATCACTTGATTTTTCTTAAAGGTTCCTCAATATCTTATCATAATGCAGGAAAATGTCCAAACAGATCAATCTTTTTAAAAAAGCCTTGATTCACAGTTCTTAGTATTCACTATGAACATAAAGCAAGCTATATCAGATTAAGTAAACTGAGGAGGGTGATCACTGTAAGCTGAGAAAATTTTGTTATGATCTAAGAACTATACACCAGTTATCTTGGGATAAAACTTAAAACTCTTTGTTACTAGTGTCAAATAATTATTATTTTGATGTAAGACAAACCAAAAAATGTTATTCATTGATTACCTTTAACACTTCTATAGAGTTTGTACTTGACTGATTCATCATATTGTTGTTCAATAATATTTCTGAAAACGCTGTTCTTGGGCCTTCTTACTCGACCCATGACTAAAATATACTTAGTCACGAAACAAAAATAATTTCGGAAGTGTCATGTATGCCAGTGGTTGAAAACACCAGCAATCAAATATCAACTAGATAGGTCCTGCTTCAGCTGTGTTTATAGTTGCAACAGCTGAGAGCGAAACGACTTCCACCACCAATCCCATACTAAAACTTCTATAAGCGCCAAATTTAAACTTGTCGAGCGAAACCCCGAAATTTATAAAAAGAAAAAATAAATTGAATGATAACTATAAAACTTATTCTGGTGATCGCTTATGAATTTTTCAACTTCAATTAACGAAGTTTTAGACGAATTTTCAATTCATTAACCAAACAGTTGGAGCCAATTATTTACCTGGTTGTACCACATGAAATAATAACAAACACACTTTTTTATTAGGGGTATATTTGAATTCCTTGTTGTAGCGAAAAATAAACAAGTCACGAACTTTATAAAGAACTATAGAATGTGCTAAGCTTTAATTATTAAAAAAATTCTGGAGAGAGATCAATTCAGATAATTTGAACAATCGGATCAGTGTCAAATATTTAATATTTAGAAAAGTTACTAATGAGTTCCGGTTCAATTATACAATTAGATATTTTTACAGTAAGTGTTCCGTCTATAGCGTACGTATATATAGAAATTGTACCTAACTTCGTAATAGTGGACCAGATCAAACATATAGATTCTTCCTTCCCTGTCCAGAGCTTTGAGAAAAACAGGTATTAAATGTTTGTCTTGTTTAGTAATCTGGGCGAGCTTTCTTTTAGGACCAATTGGATGCAGAAACGTAAAGGCTTATTCATGAAGTATTTTGCACCAGGCTGTTTTTTCATTCTTTGTAAAGCAAGTTCGTCAAAATAATAAATTAATAGAAGTAATGCGAAACTTTCGTTTAACGAGTAGGTTGATTTTCTTTATCCATCAGCTTGTCATTTGTGTAGTACAATTTTGAAATTTACCTTTAAAATTATATTCATGATAAAGGTATGCATCCCAAATATCCTTTTATTCCCTCAAGTTTAGAAACAAAACATATATTTATTTTTAATATTTCTTGGTTTAACTTAAAAAATAAGTCTTTTCATTACATGAGGCACAAAGAAGGGGAAGAGAGAGCAGTTCTGAGTGGCAGAAAGTGATAATCTCTACAACTTTAAAATTCTTTGTCAATGGAATCCTTGGATTATTAGACTTGACCTTTACTTATTACCTGATCTGGGCAGAATTTTTGGTGGGGGAAGGGACTTTTAAAAAAAATAAATGTAACAGTAATCACTGCAACAATAATGCTTTTAGGGATATATTTGTTATATCTAGAATATAGTACATATTGTGATTGTTTAAGTATTTAATCCACATCATTCAATCGAAGTTTCCATTTTTTTTTTTTTTTTAGTAGTAGGAGGGGCAAGGACAAACATAAAATAATCTATTCATTTTCTTCTTAATCAAATTTTTTTTTTGTTTAATGACAAACATTCTTATTTACTCAAAAATAAATATTTGATATTTCAACATTTTAAGATGGTACATTATGAAAACAGGATTTTTTAAAAATAATTGGTTAGTTATTGCAATTCATGACAAAAAAAATTCTCATTTATCTAAAATTAACATACATACTTTATATATATATACATATATTCAAGCGACAAAATACAAAGTTTTTCCTGGGCCTGAGGAGAGGAGGAGGGATTACTGATACTGTTAGATGTTCCTCTGGCACCAGGATTTAAACTCAAAATCTTTGTTTTGTTAGGTTGCAGGGCAATAAATACATATATATTTTTGATAAAAAAAATTCTCTTTTTATATTATTATTCGGTTCCCTCTAATATATATCTACCCAAGATGTAATGTGTACCACATTTACTAAGAGTATCTTTGGCATAAGGAATGTAAAATTTAAATATTTCATTATGATTTTTATTGTTCTTACAAATCTCGTTGAAAGGAGGATCCTTCACATGGTTTAGGAAATGAGATCTAAAAACTTACAATCAAATTTTTATTTAGGCATATTCATATAAAATGTTTGGGCTATGCTGTGATTCATCAATAAGAGGATCATTTATTAAGGAATTAAAGAAATGATTTATAAACACCCTTCTAATAATGTCGACTTCTCAATTTAGTTGTGTACTTTCATTAAACTAGGTAGGAAGATTCTAGGAAATCACAATGTCCATATCAAATAGTGAGATCTTCTTAAGTGATATGTTAAAATCATTTAGAAAAACAAACTAACTTAATAACTAGAAGTGTATCTAATTTTTTATATCCGAAAATATATTAATTGCTTTTAAGCAATTATTTTTCATACAGGGGACCAAAGAACATAAATTTAACGACGGCTAGAAAAAAGCCGTTGGAAGATGCTGAAGCAAACTAAGATATAATCCAGCCACATTAGTGAAAAGAAACATAAGGTTATCAAAAACATGTCGGTATTATTCTTCATCAAATGCTGATGTAAATTCAGAAATTGAACTTTTCTAATCAAAGTCAATTCTCAAATTTTTTTCATTTGTTATAGGGCATAAAAATTGATTAGGCAATACTTCAACTTCATACATTAAAAAAATATAAATAATTTAAATTGCTTCAAAATATTACAAATAGTAGTTTAATGGAAACCAACACTTTCTTATTTTTTTTACAGTGGTAGTGTTAATTTTTACATAATTCCTGATGATTTGCAAAATGGATAATTATTTGTTTTAAAATAAATTTATATAAAAAAAGTATACAAATTTTATTTAGAAAAAATAATAAGAAAAAACTTGTATAAGATAAATCTAACCCACAGGTATTAATAACTTCTAATGACATGCTAAACAATTTTATAGCAAAACAAAAAAATAAAGATAAAATATTATTAAAATCATCAAAGAATTGACATCAGCATTATAAATACAATTCCAAATATAAATGTTGATTTAATAATACAATACTATTTTTTAGTTTATTGTTGTTGTGTTTAGATTAAATAAACTATGCGATTATGTTTTTATACATATATATATATTTAAAAATATATACATCTTCCTTTGAAAATCAAAAAGGAACAAATATAGTAATTCATACAAATATACAAAATAATTACAATATACATTGCATAGCAATAAATAATCTGATTCATTGTGAATCACTAGAAGAACTGCTGCTTGAATCACTTGACATAACTTCAACATCTTCATTATCTTTTGTGTGATTCCTAGTATCCATTGGGACAGTTCCTTGACCAACAGACATGTGTATTTCGCCAGATGGATGCCAGGCAAACTGATTTTGCTGTGAGGCAGGAGGTTCTGTAATCAAAAAGAAAGATGAAATGAATGAGTTATAGTGGCTCATTTGCTGATTATATTTGTTATGTGACTTCAGGAACAAATTCCCCATGATAAACTATAAAATAACTAAAAAATAACAAATTTCACAAGACAAATTTGTTGGTAACAATTATTTCCAAATAAAGATATTAGCTACCAAATTAAACAGAGTTATTAATTACAAGTTAGTTTATTATAGAAGAAAATAGTTAGTTATATTTTGGTTGTTGCATAAATAATGCAATTAATTATTATTTTTTATTAATCTAAATAAAGGCTAGAGAAGTAATTTAAAACTGTAAGTAAGAAATCAATGTAGAATGATATCACAAATTATCCTAGTATCACAATAATGACTAAGGACTAATTTTAAAGACATTAGTGTGACTAATATAAAACAAACCATTGAAAAATAATCACTCTTTTTAGTCTCTTAAAACTAAAAATTTACTTATTACTCATTATCAATAGTTTAATTGTGTTTGTCGTGAACGACTAAAATTTATAATAAAGCTTTTTGAAATAAGTAAAAATTAAATTAAAGCAATTTGTGATTTGTCTGATTATTTAAAGAAGACAGCAGTGAATCAGTCATTCACAATGGACAATTAATATGAGGGCTTAGCTTAAAAGGATATATATATATATATCCTTTTAATATATACATATATATATATATATATATATATATATATATATATATATATATATATATATATATTAAAAGGAATTCATTCAACTGAATTAATTAAATTCCTTAAAAAAATTAAAGGAATTAAATTAATAATATACCAGGATGATGGCCAGTTCGATGCATATCCCCTAATGAATTAGGCTGCTGGAGCATATGACCATTCAGTGGCATATCACTCAGTCGTCCAAGAAATCCAACCCTCATATCGATATCTGAAAAATTAAACAATTTCAATATTATTTATAGTTTGGTGAATTCAAAATTATCTTTTAGTAAAAGCAAATAAAAATAAATTGTATCCTAATAAAATAAAAATAAAGTTATTATTTATATATTATATATATATATATATATATATATATATATTCTATTATTTGGGTTTTCCCACATTAATGGAGTCATACTCCTAACACTCAAAAGCCACTGCTCCCTGTCCATCCAATCTTCTTCACGGAGCCCTCTGGCTGCCATCCATTCCTCCACATCCTCTATCCATTTCTTCTTTGGCCTTCCATGCTTCCTTCTTTCAGGTGGCATATATCTATAAATTTTCTTTGGCCAGCGGTTCTCATCCATCCACATTAAGTGATCATACCACTTTAACCTTTGGTCCCGATCAGGTGAAGGATGTTCTTTTGACATCCGATCCTGTCTCTAATTGCTGCGTTTGGGATCCGCTTGATTCTAGATATGCCACAGCTTCTTTTCCATAAATCCATTTCCATGGAAAGCAACCTATTTTCCGCCTTTTTTGTAATTGTCCAAACTTCTGATCTGTAGGTGGCTACACTTTCTACAAAGGAATGGTAGATCTTTTTAGTTTCGAATGATATTTCCTTACTCCATAGGATTGAATTGATTGAAATTATTATTCTTTTCCCATTGTTTATTTTATGTTTTGTTTTTTAATATTTAATAATCAAATTAAGTAAAAGTTTAATACCTAACAGAAAAATATAAGTAACTAAACAAACTATTAAGCATGGGTTTTTTTGAACTCCACTGGTTTATTTTGCTTATAAAATGAACTATATCTAATAGTCTAATCATCTATTTAGGAAAAGAAAGGCGGGTTTATTCTAGGCAGATAGGTCATCAACCTCTTTGAATCATAGTATGAAGCCTAATACAATGAAGCTTTAAAATAATAATTTGTAGTAAACAACAGACAAATTGATTTCAAGAACTTAATTATTAAGAATGTTTCTTTATAGTTTAGATAAGATAATTCCATAATTTGAAAGCTTGTTAGTTTTATGGATGGTCTAGAAAATAAGACTCATAAATATGTTTCTATTGTAGAAAAAAATATTTAATTCAAGTGGATAAATCCAATTTAAATAAAAACTATTTTGCCGCATCTAGAAGCCTCAGTGCTTTAACTTAGTGGACCAATTTTTAAAAAATGGAACTGGATTTTTTTCATGAGGTAACCAATGAAAAATTAATTCAACACACCGAACACAAAAATCTTGAAATCATAATGCAACATTGATTCAAGGTTCAAAAAAATAATTATCTTTTTACCTTCAACCAGGAAGGTCAATATTCACTCCGCGGATTCCCCACGACATAAATTTCAACCTGTCCAGATCAAATCTGAACTGGCCCAACCAGACACAAGGAGCTGTGACACCTTAACACTCTCGACCATCAAGATCTCATGGTTTTCCAGTTGCAGCACAATTTTTCTTTTGATTACTAGAGAGAGTTCTAACGAAGTTTCACAGTACTTATTTGCCAATAAATAAAAAAAAATCTCTTAGACAAGAATTGAACTAACATCCTTTTCTGGGATGCTCATACCTGCCTGAACCAATGTTATCACAACAAATAAAATGACACTCTTACAATATTTTTTTTAGTTTATCTAAAAAGAAAACATTAAAACAAACCTGTAGGATATGGTCTCCTTGGGTCACCTGGTTGCCACGTTAAAGGAGCAGACACAGCATTTGAGGAACTTATTCTATGAGCAAATTTAATCAAGTCTTCTGAGGAAACAGGTCTTTTGTTTGCTCGATTAATAGACTGAAGTTTCTGCTTAGCTTGATAAATGGCAGTTGCCTGAAAAATATAAAAAAATATTACTTGAAACGACTAAAATACTGTTACTTTAATTATATCTGTTTAAAGAAATAAGATATTGAATATGCTAACACATATCGAAAACTCATCAAGGATTAAATAACTGATAAACTCAAGCATTAAGATACAAAAAAAAAAAAAAAAAGAATGTCTTTAGACAGACAGAAAATGTTCCTCAAAGAAAATATTGAAAGAACGATTTTATCCATTTTTCTGTTTACATGTTTCATAATCATGTTTTAGCAACAGTGGGAATCCACAGAATAGCTTCCTAACCTTTTAGAATAATTTCCTTAGTCTAGAAAATAGACATAATTTCATCACTAATTTTGGTCCAGGATTCAGAGCATTATTCAACAAAAATAATAAGCAGTGTCAACAAAATGCAAATTTTTTTTACACCATGTCCTAATTGAATTGATGATATCTGGAGCAATTTTGGATGAACCTTTTGTACAGTTACTTTTTTTTTGTGGAATAGTGTCTGTTTTAACCTGTTGTATGAAAAAGTAACGAGGAAAAAATTTTCAAACTAAGAGTTACGTGATTTCAATTTCTTTGTTTGAGAACTTACCGAGTCAAAACAAATGTCAAAAATCATATCAAAGATTGCTCTAGCCATCAAATCAATTAAAGATATTGACATATTTCATAAGATAAACAGGTGATTAAATTTAAATTGCATTATAAATAAACGATAAAAACATTTCATTTCTTAAATTCTATTATTTCAACAAAACAAAAAAAAATTTACATTTTAAATGACAAAATTTTTTTTTTAATATTTTACAAATAAAAATACTAATTGGTAAATATTATATTATTCAGAGATTTTTGATAAAATTAAAATAAATGTCTTTAATATAGATAGACTCAATATTAGTTTAAAATTATATATACCAAAATTTGTTCTGCTTCCTTTAGTTGCCGCTGTAAATTCTGAATATCTTGATCCAGTTTATCAACTTCAGCTCTCAACAGATCCATTTTTTGATTGATTTCAGCTTGTTCTGCTGCTAATTTAAGAGTTTCCTTGAGTTCATTGTCTTTTAATACTAATAACTCAGTCAGAAGTACTTGTTCAGCTCCTAGTAATTTTTGGTGCTTCATGGCAATTGTGTTTTCAATTATTTCTCTAAAAAAAAAAATCATATAATTATAAAAAATTGTTTTATATAATATGCAACTCCATAAAAGATTACATAAATATCATAGAACAAATAAAATAGCTTCTTGATTTGAATATTTATAAAACAGCATTTTCAATGTTTAATTTTAATATTCTAATATCTTTGTAAACCATGTAACGTAATTCATCTTTTAAGATTTAAAATAATGTAAACCTAATTCATCTTTTAAGATTTAAAAAGAATCTCAAATATTTAATAAGAAAGAAGAAATATCTATAAAATTAGACAATTATATCAGAAGCTGTGATCCATATTTCAAGTAAAATTTTATATTTTGAAGTTCGAACGACTCCCATAAAAACAGGCATTTCTATAAGGTCATACAAGTTGCTAAAGATCAATTGGTCAAAAAGAGTTTATTTGCAGAATTAAAGGTAGTAAATATATCCTGGATATACAATCTTGTTTATGAATGCATTGAAAACCGAGGCTGAAGTTGGCTGAGCAATAGTTTTCCTTAAGTTCAACTTGTTCCCATAAACAGTATCTTCACAGGAAAACTCTCCGCTATATACCAGACCTTGCAGTTAATTATAATCAAAGAACATAAGGCATGTCCTTCTAGCTACAAACTCTTTTTTAGTTTATATAAGGCCACTCCTGAAGGAATCTCTAGAAATGTTATTGCCATAGAAATCAACAACTGCCCTGGAATCGCTGCATGAAGTTACAGCACTAGCTATTAGAGTACCCTCATGTTGTAGTATATTTGGAAATGAAGAAGCAGATAGAATAGCAAATCTCACCAGAAGAAAAATTAATGAGATCACAATGATAGATCTAACCACTATTGCTTGCATGTAATATTTATGAAAAAAACTACCAAGAATGATGGCAAGAAAGTGAAATCAAACAACACATGGATTACACAGAATCAAGCATTACACATTCCCATGGACAACCTCTTTCAGAAATTCCAGATCTGAACAAATAATCTTGACAAGATTGAGTCACTTGACATGGAACGTTCAGCCATTATTACTTAATGAGAGCCTTGGGATCACCACTTTGTAAACAATCTACACGATGTAATACATTTACTGAAACAAACCGTGACTTCATGTAAACTATATGCTGACACAGATGACATCTTACATGACTGAAGCACTATCAATAATGAAGTAAAAATTTAAAATGTATTTAAATTACTATGTCATAGAAATTAACCATTTAATTTCATCAAATTGGAAAAACATATACTATATACATAACACATAAACTCATCATTGTAAAAAATCATGTTTTAATCATTATGTCATTAACGACCCACTTAGATAGATGTGGAATGCTGTAATATAAAGTTAGAGTTAATATTGACTAATGCACAAACTCAAAATGTTTAAACAGTCATTTAATAAAATAAAGGTTTTGCCAAAATGTTTTTTTTTTTTAAGGAACAGTGAAATGAATTCAAATTAAATTAATAAACTAAATAAAAAAAGTCATTGATAATTTTCAACAGAGATTCTATAAATTGAATAAATAAATAAGGTAAACATATAATTCAATAAAGAATACCTCCATTCTGTAGAATATGTGAAACACTGACTTGAAATGATTAACAAATTAGGCAGATTAAAATGAAGTATAAATCTTTTTAGATTGAATTTGACAAATAACCTATTATGAACAGGAAGTTCCAAGCAGAATACCATTTCAGGCATTTAAAAAATCCCTATTTAAGACTAGAAAATGATATTTTATCAGTTTGTAGTGATTAAGTTGTCCATTACTTACTTGGATATAAGAGAAATATCCTCAATAATGGCCAATAATTTTTCTCCGGTACTCATATTGCTTGCAGCTCTTGTCATTCCTATATAATTACAAATAAAAGCATAAATAGGGAAAAAACGACATTATGAAATTATATTCAACGCCGACCATCAAGGCTTGTTTACAATTCGTGGTCATTGGCAGGTTACAATTAGGTTATTTTGTGTTTTTTTTCACTACTGAATTTTTCACTACTGGAGAATTTTTTTTAAACTGTGAAACGTGTTCTAGGTGAACATAAATACCTTTGCTTTTATTTTAAATTATGTCAAAAGTTTAAAAGAAACTCTGATAACTTGTTAGTACAGACATTTAAAAATGTATGCATATTTTACCCATACATTGATTTAAAAAAGATAACAATTTTTTTATAAATTTTCAGTAGCTTTTTTATTTAATATGACTAATTTTATTAGGAAATAAAAAGTAATCATGTAAGAACAGTAGAAACTACATCTATCAATACAGCCATGATAAATAAAAGAAATATCTACAAGCTTGCTGTTCCAAAGACCAGTATTTTTCCGGTTCCCTGAGTAGTCGGTAGACAGCAGTCAATTATTTTAGTCAGCTTGTTTACTCGCCTGCGTTTACGTAAAATCTATCTGAATAACTCATTTTAAGCAGCAGTTTTGACCTCGTAAGTTAATCTTAATAACATTAGTATGTTATAGTTTATGTACTGTCTCTAGACTAAATTATTTATTTATCATATTAATACTAGTGATTATTGTTCTGTCTCGGTTAAGTCGATGGATAAATCCTAACAACAAAATGAGATATTAACCCATCTTGTTTAGTTAGTTTTTAAAATTGTATGTCGTTTGATCACTATTCGAATTTCAATCGGCTATAATTTTATAGTTACTCAATATATATTAATTTATTATTATTCATTATTCATTATCATAAATATATGTTTGTAAAAGTGTATCTTGGTTAAAGTACATTATTTTTAAGTAATATTTTAGAGAATTAAATCACCGAAGTCTATGATTATTTTTTTCTGTGTGAAATCAAAATTTTGTACACTTATTAATATTTTTACATATAATGTGGTTTATGTCATTTTAATGTACCTAATATTTTTTTTATAAACTATGATAAAAATTAATAAATACATTAAAGTTCGTTCCATCAAAAATGTACTTAGTGATTGTTTTCAATAAACCGACGATATGATATCTATTTGAAAATTCTTAAAAATTAATCTTATCAATACTAGGTTTTACCAACTTTTGGATTTCGAGTAGTTAAAATCATACTCTCTTTATTAGTTGTCTGGCTTGTTTATTTGTTATTCAGGAGCATACAATAAGAGGATGTGGTTTAATAAATGGGCGTGTCGTGCTCAGGTACCGGCAATTCAAAATAACTTCCTCCTTTTTTTGTTAAATGGTTTCATCAAAACCGTTTTATTTAGAGAAGTACTCAGAAATTTATTGCATGGCACAAGTTGCGCCATCCAAATTTTGAAGTGAGAGCACATATTTACGTGGTTGTATATTTTGGAGGAAAACATATTTTTAACCAAAAAAACAATAAAAAAAATAGAATTTCGTTAAAACCAGTAGGAAAGCAATAAATCTTCTTGTGAAGGAGTAATGGTCACCCCCTTGTTTATTTATACTTATAAAATCATTTATGATTTCGAGTATTATCAAGCTGTTTTTATAAGGATGAGTGTAATGTTATCAATATAATATTCGCCTGACCTTTGCGTAATATTTTAAATTAAGGATCGTTTAAGCCTATTAGTTGAAGGACACTCTCCCTGTTTTGTTGACCCTTTATTTAGCTGAGAACCTGGTTTCTTCAAGTATATTATCCCTCCACGGGAATATGTATTAAGCATGTATAATCGAAATAAGATCGATGTTCGCATTCAAAAGATAAAATATTATACAATCTATCTGAGAAAAGAATGATTGGGAAATTTCGTTTGTAATATCGACAGCTTCTATTTTTACTTATTGCCCTCTTTATTTTATCCATCCATCATGGGTCTGTTAGATCCACCCTTTCCCATTATCTTCGTACCTGCTTGTACTTAATTTGCTTCAATCTATTGTATATGTTATTAATCATGTAGTGTATCGCTGAGGGAATCATTACTCTAGTTTAATAGCCGATTTGGGGCCGTTGACTAGGTTAACTAATGAGTTATTTTTCTTTAGAAGTTAAATATATTAGTATTGAATTCTTGTCTCTTACAAAAGAGTAATACCTTTTTTGGGGGTGAAGAAATATGAGTCCTATGTGATATATGTGTTGGAATTCAAATTTTAAAAGAAAATTACTGATTTCAATTATTTTAACTGGATTAAAAAGTTAAATATATATGTATATTTAAAAAAAAAAGTAAACGTCTCTCTTCCTTCATCACCTATTTCCCAAAAATAGAAGAAAGTATCTATCAGATTTCGCGAGGGAGAAAAAAAGATCTATATTCGCGATTTAATAACTCAAATATACAGTTGGTAGCTCAGTGAGTAAGAATTGACTTCCAGATTTCAAGGTCTCCGCATCGAATCCGACTAATGACAAGTATTTTTTCAACAGTCATGGATCGAGCTAAAGGGCCGGGTGCGCCTTTGGGCGGAGTTCTCTATTAAGTGGGAAAACGTTGCAATTGAGCATGATCTAGGCTTGATCACCTCCCTGTACAACCGTTGGCCTTAAAACAATACTTCCTTACGAAATACTGAGGAAAGAGAGTCATAACTATTATTTTATATAATATATATATAATATATATATATATTTATAAATATTATATATATATATATTTTAAACTGGATAAAAAATAAATTTATGTGGGGTGAAATCACTAACGGATCCTCCAAGATTTATTTTGGGGGGCTTCAGCATGAAAAATTTTGGTTTATTATTTTCAATAATGAAACATTATGATCGACCAAAAAATTCAGAAACATAACCCCCCTCTCAAAATTTGAGGTTTCACGTTTCAAGACGCGTAGAATTCGAAAAACGAATAATTTTTTTTTTTGTCCGTCCTCCGTCCCCGTATTTAATCCGAAAATACTGGACCGATTTTTTTCAAATTTTGATATAAAATCAGAGGTCACCCGAGGATGATCCTCCTTCATCGACATTATTCTCCGCCTTTAACTTTCAAAATGGTGGCCGAAAATCCTGCGTTGCTATAGACGGTAGCTCCTAAACGAATGTACAGATTTCAATGAAACTTCGCTACAGTCATTTTTTCGACACCCTTTAAATTTACCTATATAACATACTTCAACGAAAAGAAGCTGGAAAGAAAGTTACGAGGGATGGTAAAATTAAATTCCGAATAACTCGAAAAGTTTTTACTTTTTTTGTTGATATTGTGTATAGTTTTTTTAAAGTTTACAAAATTTCCTTAAAAAAATCGTTAAAATCGGACAATTAGGAGCAAAGATATGGTCTCCGGTTTTTTTAATTTGTTTTACTCCAAATGTTATATCCTTGGTTTGGTTTTTAAATTTTAAATGTGTTACTGAAATAATGCTTCTTTTTTTTTAGCATATTACTAATGATTAAAGAAAAACAGTTTAGTCCAATAATTGGAATCACCTTTTGTTTTTTTATTCTTTGTAACTCGGAAGGTAATGTTTGCAGCGTTTTTTTTAATATAATATGATTCGAAAGAAAGAAGCTAACTACCTATATGAAATGGTGTTTAAGTGATTCTTTAAATCCTATTAAATTTAATTAGAGGAATAATACATTTTTTCATAAAACGTTTTAATTTACCATTTGGAGGGGGGGGAGGCTTAAGCACGAACTTACTCTCCCCCCCGTAGATCCGCAGGTGGGTGGAGTTCGTAGACAAGTGAGAATGGAAGTATTGGAACCTTGATAAACTTTTTCTTGAATCATTTTGTGTTTGTTTTTTGATGATTTTTTTACGACTAGATATGTTTGAATAATCATTATTTTTTAAAAGATTTTTAATTATTAAGCACTACCTTTTCATCAGAAATCTACTTAAGCATTCCCCATTGAACTCGGTGCATCGTGAATGTTCTATTTTAGTCGCGATGAGCCTGGTAGGCGTTTCAAGGTCGACCCGGTGGAAATTCCTTTCGCTCAGGACCTACAGCTTCTTAACATTCATTAGTACCTACACGTCAGATGACGTGTTTTTGTTTCATTCAGGCTCAACAGCGTGTGTTATATTATTATAGTATTAATAAAATTATTTTCTAGTCTAAATTGAAATACGTATTTTTATTCGAGGCAGGGTGAGATAAATGAAAGCTGTGAGATGAGCGCACAGCACCAGATGTTTTTGTTAATCGCTGATTTGGAGTGTTAAAAAAAAAAAACCTTGAGAGCACCAATGACAAAACAAAACATGCCTTGATGACAATTAAGGAACAATCACTTCAAACTCAGTTTTCATTGTCAAATAAAATGCCTTTGTGTATTGCACCATGTTACTTAACTTTATTTTTATGTTCTTAATGCTTTATTCTTAAGTTATTTCATATTTACATGTAATAGTTTTCTTTAGTACACTTTTGACAAATATCGTATTAATTTTTACTTTCACTTACCTATATATGAAATGTATAGTAAAGTAAAGTATTGCGGTCGTGAAAATTTTCTAATCTCAGGTTTCAACTAAGTCTTACAAAATGGCCTGTGTGTGTTTGTTTTCAGTCCAAAAACGAAAAATCGTACGAAAGTGAAATTATCCTTACAATTAGTGTGACAACTTCTGACCTACATACGACAGGCAATGCAAACCTAATTCCATTACAGTAAATGTTGCAATAGAATATAACAGTTTAATTACTAATATTTGTACAATCCATAATCAACCTTTTAGCTTGGTTAAAGATGCCCTTTAAAAATTTTATAATAGCCCAACATTATCAGAAAATAATTTTTATTCCAAGTAGATAGATAAGTGAAAGTTGTGTGTTGCACGCACCTGATTTTTACTTTTAAATTGAAGAGCTGAAAATTGTATTTGTAGTTTTACCTGAAATTATGCCTAATTGAAGTTGTGAGAGTTGCGCGACTATTGAAACGGGTTTGAATAGATTTGCGTACTTGTTTTGTTGGATAATGATTGATAAGGAAGTTAATCAGAAGTGAATCTACAGAATAACACTTAAGGGGGGGACCCTTATACGTTCAATATTATTGAATGTCTCACACCTTTCAAAAGGCCCTTTTCCCATTTTATTTATTTTTACTTTCACTTACCTATATATGTAATATATAGTGAGGGTAAGTATTGCGATCGTGAAAAAGAGCTTTCAACGGAAATACACGTTTTGAGGTCCTCTGAGTCCAAATAACCAAGTCCCGAAAATGGTCTGTGTATGTGTTAAAGTCTAGCTCAAAAAGGAAAAGTTGTACGGAATTGAAATCACATATTTAAGGTTTTTATATACTAGGGATGTTACAGCAACTTTTTCATCAAAATCGGCTTGCCGGAAGTGGCACTTTATATATTGGACTAAACACATTTTTACGATTATCTCGGAAACCGGTCTAACGATTTTGATTAAATTCATCATATCATTGTAAAATTAAGCAGTTTTAAATAAAATGTTGTTAATATTCTGATTTATGTACTCTAACAGGGCTTAAATTGCTAATTCTCAATATTAGCTTCCT